GAAATAGTTTCCAACAATAGATACCAATCCTATGTTTGGCCAACATTTCAATCATTGATTGCAACTAATTATATAAAATTTATTAAAATAATTATATGAATCCAAAAAAAATTAAAACTTTTAATTTAGTTAATAAATAAAATAAACCTTTAATTTGTCTAACAGTAGTGACAATATTATTGATGATTTAGATTTTAAACCAATATTATTATTATTATTATTATTATTATTATTATAATTTACAAACAATGTATAAAATAATTTATGTGTTTGTTTAGCACTGGTATTGATACGACTGGCAAACAAAATAATTGTCGTAATTGTCCCAAACATTATCGATATACTTATAGACAATAACAATGATATAATAAAATTATTAAACCGGGTCATTATTAGACAACTAGTCATTGTGGATATGGTTATTGTTGAAAATAGCCAATAGTAAAATATTACCATGGACCATTGTCTATTAGTTACTATTATACGTTTTGAAAATTTTATCAATTTTAAATGCAATTGTTGAACATAGTTTGTTTTATTTAAATTATTATTATTTGGTGCTAATAATAATAATAATAATTGTCTAATTTGATAGTTGATCATGCTAAGTTTGTAATATCTATTCAAACAAACTAGACAAAATAATGTAACCTGATAAATTATAAACTGTACTAGCCATCTATAGGCGTAACTAAAATATATTGAATAAATTATACCCAATGTTAATAGATAATCAATTGGATAATAAAACGACATGGATACTAATGTACAAATAATATATTGTATAAATATTATATATGATAGATATTTATCAAATTTTCTAAAATATACTAGATAGTTTTCAATATGTTTATTATTATTATTATTATTAACATTATAATCATAATATTTATTAGAAATATTATTATTGTTAAAATAATGATAATTTTTATCATAATTAACAGTAAATGTTATAGTAATTAGTATAACTAATGTACTGATTAGACATAATTTAATATAAAAATTTTCGGTCCACATATAAAACCAATCGCCAATCAATATAGCAATGTATTTATTATTATTATTATTATTGAATATAAATGATATCAATACACGTATTAATTCAATATATTTAAGTTTGTTTAATATACTTGATTTGAGATCCCTGTCCCCGAAACTGGGATAGGTTTTTGGTAAACCCATTTGATAGCACTTTTCATTCAATATATAAAACATATTGTTTACTAATATTAGTTGTTTCCCATAGATAGACATTATTGTTGTTAATTGAATATATTTTCATAAATTTTTTATTTGTTAGATAAAAATTAATATATATTTTTTTTACTATTAGTACACTATTTATATAATAAAAATTATTTTATTATTATTAACTTTTGATATGAAAACAAATAAAAAAACAAAATTTGATTATTTATTATAAAATAATTATTTATTGTTTAATAACATGAATAAAATTATTTATGAATTAACTAAAATTTTTGTACTAATATATACATATATATATATATATTAATCATATAAATTATTACTATATTTTATTTGCGAAAAAAATTATTTTATTATTTTTAGTCTATTTTGTAATAATTATTTTTTTAAAAAAAGTCTAATTTATATGATTTTTGCGTTTTTGAAATACATATATAAAAAAATTATATATAAATAGTTTATTTTGTATATAATTTATTATTTATATATTTTTTTCATTAATATATTTATAGATTATTTGAAAATAAAATAAAAATAAAACATTTTATAACTATAGTACTACAGTAGTTATAATTAATTATTTATACTAAAGTTTTAGTATTTTTATATAATATAATATAAGTAAATATTTACAATATATAAATTTATTTTTTAAAAATTAAATTAATATACAGTTATATATATATATATATATATTAATTTTGAGTTTGCTGTACACTAAAAGTAATAAAAAATATTTTTATAAAAATTAATCATGTATTCAAAAATTTTTGTTAAAAAACAAGACATACATTATTAGATGTAATAATTTTAGTGTTGATTTTGTTGTCATATATAGAAACTAGAAAATATTATTTAAAAATAAAAAAAACAAAATAAAAATATTATTAGAATCATAAGTTAGATTTTTAAAAAAATATATTTATTATTAATAATAATACAAAATTTAATTACAAAATTATAGGAAAATTGATTGATTAGAAATAATTTCCAACAATATATACCAATCCTATGTTTGGCAAACATTTCAATCAGCGATGATAACTATTAATTGAATAATAATAATAATTATTATTATGAATAAAATAAAAATCAATTTAGACTTACTTTAGTACTAATTAATAAATTATCAGTAAATTTGAAATTATTATTATTAATATTAGATTTTATGTTTATATTACTATTATTATTATACAATATATATAAATGATATAATAATTTATGTGTTTGTTTAGCACTAGTATTGATACTACTGGCAAATAAAATGATTGTTGTCATTAATATAATACCAATTAAAATGCAACTAGCTGAAAATATGGTTATTATTAGATTCAAACGTGTAAATAGCATCAAGCACCATTGAACTGATATAATTATTGTACACAATAGCCAATAGTATAATACATTAATTGACCATGCACGATTTAAATTTGAAATAGTCAAATAAAATGCAATCAATTGATTATTTAACATGTTCAATTTTCTAGAATTTAAATTAATTTTTTTATTTAAATTATTATTATTATTATTATTTAACAATTGTTTATTGGATAGTTTAGAAATTTTTAAATTAATCCTGGTTAAACTAAATTTTTCACGTAAACATAGTAAACAAAACATCGAAATATGTATGATTAAAAATCTAACCATCCACATATAACATGGTGATATTAATAGACTATATATTAGGCCAATAGATAATAAATAATTTTGGGGATAATATAATGACATGGATACAAATATTGCCGAAAAATATAATATAAATAAAAATGATGAAAATATTTTATCAAAATTATTCAAATATTTAACATATCTATTAATAATAATGATAATTAATTTTTTATTAACTAGATTATTGTTATTAGTATTTAAATTGAAACATAGTTTGTAAAATTTATCATGATAATTTTTGGTTGCTGTACTATTAATAATTATCAATGTTGTACCAATTACACATACCTGGCTAATAAACATATAGGGTTTTTGTGGCCAAACATAAAACCAATTACCCGCTAGCATAGCAGCTAATCTATCGGTAGTATTGATGGCTATCAGTGCCCGTATTAGCTCCAGATATAACATTTTGTTTAATATCATTGATTTGATATCCCGGTGCCAGCAGTCGGAACCTGTTGTATGTAGTTTTGGTAAACCTATTTGATAGCATTTATTACACAAAACATACAACAATTGATCGACAATTAGTTGTTTTTGTTTTATAAACATTTTTCTAAAATAAATTAAAAATAAATATTTTTTAAAAATTTTTAAATAATTTTTTTTGCAGTAAATTTTTTTAAACTAAATATATACACTAAATAATTAATATATTTCAACAAATAATAATAATACTATACTAAATGTAATCATTAAAATTTAAGATAATTTATTAGACAAAATATTTTTTATTGTTTATTTTAATTTCATTATTACTGTACTTAAAACTAATACATTGTATTATTGGTTCATATAATACATTAATCAATACTAATAGTCATAATTATTATATTTTTTATTAAGTAAATTGTGTCTAAAAAAATTAATCATTAATTTTCTAGTACTCTATATTATAGATATTATATAAAAACGTAAATACAATTTATCATTAATACAATAATAATTTCATTAATATAATAATAGGTTCATAACTTTTATTTTTTTTATCTAATTATGTTTATAATGATATATTATTTTAATAATATAAACTAGAAAAATATTTTAACTGTAATAATTAAATTAATTAAATTCAAAAAAAATATTTAATTATTCTATTGTATTATAATATTTAATTAATTTTACTAGATAATTAATTATCATATAGCATAATAAATAACAAAATTTTTTATTTTTATTTAATAAATAGTATTTAATTTGTTAGTTTATAGTTTACTATTCAATAAATTATTAGTATTACTAATAATAAAACAATAAATAACTAATAATATTTTTAATTAATTATAAATTATAAAATACTAGTATAACAATTTTATACTATAAATTTAATAGTTATTTTTTTTTAAAAAAAATAAACTTAAAATATTTGATATATAAATATTAAACTAATTATTTAATTTACAATTTTATAAGTTTTTTTAATATATATATATATATATATATAGATATTTTACGATACAATACTACATATCATTGTATTTATCAATATAAATGAATTATATAGTAATACTAATAATTGTAAAAATTAAATATTTAATTAAAACATCCTTGTTATATATATTTTTTAAATTAAAAAAATTTGTTGTCAATTAATACATAACTACAACAATAAGATGAATAAAAATAACTAAATAAATAAAATAAATACTAGATTTTTAATTTTTTAAATTTAATAATAAGTTCTAGTAATACTAAAATTAAAAATTTATATTATTTGTTTAAAAAAACTATTAATAATTTACATTTGAAATAAATAATTATTAAACTAAAAATTCAAAAAATATATATTTTATAAACACATTTTTTGAAAAATTAATATTAACCTTGAAACTTTTAAATATAGATATTCAAGTATAGCAGTAATCATACATTTGACTATCAATTATTGATAATAATGTTTATATTTTTTTTAGTATATTATTTAAGTTAAGTGAAATTTATATATATAGCTAATTGTGTATTTATAAATTAATTTAATAAAAATAATAATAATAACAAAATTATTTTTTTAAATATAAAAAATGAAACAAAAATTTTGTAATTTATTTAAAAACTTATTCACATGTTTATTAATATTATCTATTATATTCATTGCTAATGTTATTTGTATTGATAAAAATGTAATAACTGTTAAAACATTGTCGGGAACAACAGTTAAGGGACAGACACTACATGTGCTTAATAGAGATGTCCATCAGTTTCTGAACATACCGTTTGCCGAACCACCAGTCGGTGACCTCAGGTTTGCCAAACCGGTGCCAATAAAAGAACCCAAAAAGGTATGACATATTATTTGATAAAAATATACACAATTAAACTAAATTAAGATATATTTATTTATTAACTGTTTTTCAATTAGGATGTTATCGATGGCACCAAATCGGGTAACTCTTGTATACAAAACTTGAGTCCAGAAATGAAACAATTTGTGGGAAATTTGCAACAAAGTGAAGACTGTCTGGTACTCAACGTATGGACACCGAGTCTGGAGACTACTGGCCTCAAACCGGTCATGTTTTGGATATATGGCGGCGCTTTCAGTATGGGTTCAATATTTCAATTGATGTACAACGGATCGGTGTTGGCCACCAATGATGTTGTGTTTGTTGCGGCCAACTATAGAGTGGGTGAACTGGGCTTTCTATATGGTGGCCACGAGTCGGCACCGGGAAATGCCGGTCTATACGATCAGTTATTGGCACTCAAATGGGTTGATATATTAAAATCATAAACATATATATTTCAATTATACTGATTTATCATTTGCATCAATATTTTTCTCAGATAAAAGATAATATTGAAAGTTTTGGCGGTGACCCCAATCAGGTAACTATTTTCGGTGAAAGTGCCGGCAGTTGGTCTGTATCGGCACATCTACTATCGCCACTGTCCACAGGCCTATTCAAACGGGCTATTATGCAGAGCGGGTCATTGATGTTCAATAAGGACATACCGATCTCGGATACTGTTCGAGCACTGACTAAAGCTAAACAATGGGCTCAGAAACTCGGTTGCGATCCCTATGACTACAAATGGTTAGCCTGTTTGAGATCAGTTGCCGATCCCAACCTATTTAATGAATTGCCAGCAAATGGCGGTCTATTTCAAGTAAATTTCCCGGTATTTGGTACCGAATTTTTACCCCATATTCCACAAAAAACATTCAACAAAAAACTCTACAATTATGGTAATGTAATAATTTATTTGCATATTATATTATATATAGTATATACATAATATATATATATAGTTATTCAATATTTAATAAGTTTACTATTATTATTGTTATTATCAAAAAAATAAATAAATCAAAATTTAATCATCAAGGTTATCTAAGTGTTTGTTGTAACAAAAAATATCTACTATGGTATTATTAAAGTACATTGATAAATTTTTTGTTACATTACAGTATATCATATAACAGTATCCAATATATACTTAATTTGTTTAATTAATGTCAAAAAAATAATAATTTTTTGATAATACCTAATGATAAGTGTATATATAACTGTATTATTATTAGTAGTAGTATAATTATACTAAATTATGTATTTAAAAAAAAATACAAAAAAATGTATATTAAATAATTAGTCATAAATAACTAAAATAATTTTATTTTAAAAATTAATTTTCTAAATTAAAATTATTATTAACTCAATTAACTAAGATTTAATATAATTTATATTTTTATACAAATAGATTATTATTATTATTATTATTATTTAATTAAACATTATTATTAATTATTTAATATAATATTTATTACTTAAAAAACAAAAAAAAATTGTTTAAATAGAAAATTAATAACTAAAAAAATAAAACTATTTAAATACTTTAAATATACAGTACATATACCGGTATATATATATGATATATAAATAAAATTTCAATTATTTCAATTAAAACATATTTTTGTATAACTTAAATTTACAACAATAATAATAATAATTATTATTATATTATTATTCATTCAAATTAGATGTTGAACTAATAGCCGGTTCAACCAAAGATGAAGGTCCACTGTTGGCCATAATGTTGTATCCAATACTTATGAATCCCGAGTTCAATGTGACCGGACTGACCAATTTGGTCGCCGAAATCAATGGACAAATGTTCAACAATATAGACGTCCGGAAAGTTGTAGACTATTATTTGCTGGGAGTCGACGACCGTACAGATCCAGTCCAACTGCGGCTGGCATTCAGCCAACTATACGGCGATCTATTGATTACGTGTCCGACCTATCGTTTCGCCCGAGAGTTTGCGGCCAACAGCAACCCGTCGGACAACAACACGGTTTGGTACTATCGATGGAATCATCCGATGTATACAGCAGTCAATGGCCAGGAGCTGGATATGAAAATGTTTGGTCTACCGGACGACTCGGTACTACACGGAGCCGATATGGGCTTTACATTTGGGTATCCATTAGTGGCACCGGAAAACAGGTTTACCGAAATAGACTATGACTTTGCCATCGATGTCCTGAAAATGTGGACCGATTTTGTAAAGTTTGGGTAATTATTATTATTATTATTATTAATATTTTTTTATTTTAATATATATTCATTGCAATTGAATTGTATACTCTATTATACAGTAATATCTATAAATATAATATAATATTAAATAATTGCTATTATTTATATAAGTAATTATAAATATTATTTTTTTAAAAAATTATTTAATGAATTTTATGTTTATATACTTAATTACTAATAACTTAATAACTTAAACTGTTTGTATATCTATTTAATTATTATTATATAGTAATCCACATAAAGATTGGCCTAATTTTTTGGACAAAACTACTGGTGCTATCAAAATCATAGATCTGACACCCGATGATACAACAACACGTGTTTTGGTGAACCCGTTTCAGAGTACGTGCGATGGTGTCTGGGATTACTATTTCTAGTCAATTAATTACTAACTAAACAAACATAAAAAAAATTATTTTTAATTAGTTATAAATTATAAGTTATAATATTAAACTAATAGTAATCATTAAAATTAGGTAATTATTTGTGTTTATTAATTGACTAAACAAAAAATATTAATACAATTGTATTTAAATATTAGTCAATTAATTATTTAATTAATTTTAATTAATTTAATAATTTAAATTTATTATTTACATTATTATTATTATTAAAACGCACTACAAAAAAAACTTTAATTACAAAATAAAGTCTATTTTATCGTAAAAAAGTGTCACAAAAAAATTATTATTATATACTGTATTAGTTATAATACAATCATAAACTTGTTTTTGTTTAAATTAAGACAATTGTTATTTAAAATTATTATTATAGAAAAAAAATTATAATTGTTTTGCTAATTACTGTAATTATTTATTTTTTTTTCATATGAAATGTTAGATTATACTTTATATAATACTAACAAAAATAAATTATTATATTATCAAAAATACAGTAAATAAATTATTTAGTTAGCTAATAAAATTTATTATCATTGTAGATATATATATATATATATATATATATATTAAAAATAATAATCCCAAACACTGTCGCACGTGCTCTGAAACGGGTCCACCAAAACACCACGTGTCGAGTCATCATCGGCTGTAAGATCTTTGACTTTTACGATACCATTAGATTTATCCAAAAATTTTGGCCAATCTTTATGTGGATTACTATTAAAACGAGAAAAAAACGGATACAATATATATTAAAAAATAATAAAAATAATTCATTAAATTCAATAATAATTGAATCCAAACTTGTATTACTAAATATATAGTTTCATTTATATCAATAGTAAAAAAATATATATTAAATAAAATTAAACAAAATAATCATTTTAAAAAAATCATAAATTTGTTTATAAATTAATCAAAAAAAAAAATTCAACAAAAACAACAAAAAATAAATAATTATTACTCAAAACTTTGTTTGGATTACTATTATATAAAGTAAAAATATATTCAAACAACAAAAATAAAAATAAAACAATTAAAAACAAAAATAGTAATAATAATAATAATTTACCTAAACTTAATATAAAATTAAAACAAAATAATATATATATATATATATATATATTTTTAATTTTCATAAATTTATTTATCAATTAAACCAATATTTTTTCAACAATAAAAAATAATAATAATAATAATTTACCCAAACTTTGCAAAATCGGTCCACATTTTCATGATATCGATGGCAAAGTCATAGTCTTTTTCGGTAAATAGTGTCGGTTCCAGTAATGGCTGACCAAATGTTAGTTCAATGTCAATACCGTGTACTATAGTATTGTCGGGAAAGCCGAAAATTTTCGGATCCATACGCGGATGACGGCCACCGGTTGGCGCATAATTCCAACGATAGTACCAAACATTGTTGTTGTTGTTGTTGTTGTCCGACGGGCTGTTGTTGGCCGCAAACTCGCGGGCGTATCGATAGGTCGTACACGTCATAAATAGATGGCTGTATAGTTGGCTGAATGCCAGTCGCAGTTGGACTGGATCTGTACGGTTGTCGACCGATTGTAAATAATGGTCAACTGTTTTCCGGACGTCTATATTCCGGAGAATTTGTCCACTAATTTCGGCCACCAAATCGGTAAATATCGATACATTCAATTGGGGACTCATTAGTATCGGGTAGAGTGCTATGGCTATTAGTGAACCGTCATCTTTGGTGGCACCGGCTATTAGTTCAACATCTAATTTATTTATTTTAGTTTTTTTTTAAAAATATAATCATATAATTAATTAATTATTTAATTAATAATAATAAAGTAATGTTTTGTTAGAAATAATTAATATTATAATTTAATATTTTTAATTAGAAATCTTAAATTTAAAAAAAAAAAATTTAAAAGTTTCAAATATTAGACTAATATTAGAGTATAAATACAATATATATTAAAGATATTGATTTTAGTGCATAATTAATAAATAATTAATTATATTTTTATATATATTATATTTACTGTATTAATAAACTTTTAAAAAAAAATTAATTTAACTAATAATTTGATCTAATTGCATGAAAATTTTATATATATTATATAAATTTTAGTTTAAATTCAATTTAAAGTTAATCAAAAATTATTTATAAATATATAATATACTTATACACACAAAAAATGTTTAGATAAATGATAATAATTTCTATTGATAAATGTTACAAAAAATTATATAAATTATAAATAAAATAGTATAAATATTTTATAATTTTAAAAAAACTAATAAAATGCATAAAAAAATAAATCAATTATACCATAATTGTAGAGCTTTTTGTTGAATGCTTTTTGTGGAATATGGGGTAAAAATTCGGTACCAAATACGGGAAAATTGATTTGAAAGGCACCGCCATTTGCTGGCAACTCATTAAATAGGTTGGGATCTGACACTGACCTCAAACAGTCTAACCATTCGTAGTCATAGGGATCGCAACCGAGTTTCTGAGCCCATTGTTTAGCTTTACTAAGCGCTCGGACAGTATCGGTGATCGGTATGTCCTTATTGAACATCAATGACCCGCTCTGCATAATAGCCCGTTTGAATAGGCCTTTGGACAGTGGCGATAGTAGATGTGCCGATACTGACCAACTGCCGGCACTTTCACCGAAAATAGTTACCTGATTGGGGTCACCGCCAAAACTTTCAATATTATCTTTTATCTGTAAAATATTGATAGATATTATAGTTTAGTATTATTTAGTATCTATTTCTATAATGATTTAAATATACCAACCCATTTGAGTGCCAATAACTGGTCGTATAGACCGGCATTTCCCGGTGCCGACTCGTGGCCACCATACAGAAAACCTAGTTCTCCCACCCGATAGTTGGCCGCAACAAACACAACATCATTGGTGGCCAACACCGAACCGTTGTAATCGGTTTGAAATATTGAACCCATACTGAAAGCTCCGCCATATATCCAAAACATGACCGGTTTGAGGCCAGTAGTCTCCAGACTCGGTGTCCATACGTTGAGTACCAGACAGTCTTCACTTTGTTGCAAATCTCCCACAAAATGTTTCATTTCTGGACTCAAGTTTTGTATACAAGAGTTTCCCGGTTTGGTTCCATCGATAACATACTTATTAAAAGAAAAAATATATGTATTTTTTTCTCTTAATTTATTTTAATTTTGTATATTTTTTTATTAAATAACATATTATACCTTTTTGGGCTGTTTTATTGGCACCGGTTTGGCAAACCTCAGGTCACCGACTGGTGGTTCGGCAAACGGTATGTTCAGAAACTGATGAACATCTCTATTAAGCACATGTAGTGTCTGTCCTCTAACTGTTGTTCCCGACAATGTCTTAACAGTTATAGCATTATTATTATCAATACAAATAACATTATTATTATTATTATTAACAGCAAACACTATGTATAATAAAACTAAGTTTTTAAATAAATTATTAAAATTATGTTTCATTATTATAGTTATATAAAAACCAGGTTTAAATTTATAGGTTATACTTTATTGATGTTTGAATTTTTTTTATTATTGCTAAAATATTTTAGGATAAAAATTGAACTATTTATGTACATATACTAAAAAGTATTAATTTTAAAAAAATTATTATTATTATTATAAACTTTTACATAAATTAAATTTTTATATTATCATAGTTGTGATAAATAACATTTTTTATGTGCTCAAGGACAAATAGTTTTACCTAAATATTTTATATTTATTAGTAGTAGAAAATTGAATTATTATTATTATTTTCATATATTAAATACAATTTCATTACAATTTGTGATTTTCTCAAATAAAAAATTATAAATGAATAAAAATTATATTATTAATAATATATTTAAATATATATATGTGATTTTCTAATATTTTTTAACTTTTATTTAACTTTTTAATCATTTAAATTATTTAAAATTAGCCAATAAATTAAACATTAATTTTAGTAGTGGTAACTTTTTTAAAATTTAGATTTATATAAAAACTTTATTTCTTATATATTTAATTACTTATAATAATATTTATTTTTAATATAACAGTCAATAAATTATTTAGTTATCTAATAAAATTTATTATCATTGTAGATATATATATATATATTAAAAAAAATAATCCCAAACACTGTCGCACGTGCTCTCAAACGGGTTCACCAAAACACGTGTTTTTGTTGTTGTTGTTGTATTATATGGTATCAAATCTTTGATTTTTACGATACCTGTATTTTTATCGACAAATTTAGGCCAATCTTTGCTTGGATTACTAAACAAATTTTTAAAAAAAAAATAAAAATAAAAATTAGTTAAATATATTCAAACAAAATAATTTATAATAATAAAAATAATAATTTATTAATCAAAACAAATTCAACTAAAACAACAACAACAACAACAAAATAATTTACCTAAACTTGGATTACTAAATATATAGTTTCATTTATAGCAATAAAAAAATATATTAATTAAAATTTTAAAAAATAATCATTTTAAAATAAAAATTCATAAATATGTTTATAAATTAATCCAAAAAAAAAAAATTCAACAAAAAACAAAAAATAAATAACTATTACTCAAACTTTGTTTGGATTACTATATAAAAAGTAAAAATATATTCAAACAACAAAAATAAAAAAAAACAATTAAAAATAATAATAATAATAATAATAATTACCCAAACTTTGCAAAATCGGTCCACATTTTAACGATTTCAATGGTAAAGTCATAGTCTTCAGGGGAAAACATTTTCGGCGCCACTAATGGCAAACCAAATGTAAAAACTGTGTCAATACCGTGTACTATAGTATTGTCGGGAAAGCCTAATGTTTTTAGATACATAAGCTGTGGGCCACTACCGGTTGGCGCATAATTCCATCGATAGTACCAAACATTGTTGTTGTTGTCCGCCGGGCTGTTGTTGGCCGCAAACTCGCTGGCGTATCGATAGGACGAACATGTGATCAATAGATCGCCGTATAGTTGGCTGAATGCCAGCCGCAGTTGGACTGGATCTGTACGGTTGTCGACCGATCGTAAATAATGGTCAACAGTTTTCCGGACGTCTATATTGCTGAACATTTGTCCACTAATTTCGGCGACCAAATTGGTCAGTCCGGTCACATTGAACTCGGGGCTCATGATTATCGGATACAACATTATGGCCAACATTGGACCTTCATCTTTGGTGGCACCGGCTATTAGTTCAACATCTAATTTATGGAAATTATAATATAATATATATATATATATATATATATATATATATATATAAATTAAAACTATATATATATATATATAAATTAAAACTATATATATATATATAAATTAAAACTATATATATATATATATATAAATTAAAACTATATATATATAAATTAAAACTATATATATATATATAAATTAAAACTATATATATATATAAATTAAAACTATATATATATATAAATTAAAACTATATATATATATAAATTAAAACTATATATATATATAAATTAAAACTATATATATATATATAAATTAAAACTATATATTTATATAAATTAAAACTATATATATATATATAAATTAAAACTATATATATATAAATTAAAACTATATATATATGTAGAAACATATTTCTACATAAAATTAATTATTTAAATGTTTATCAAAATTCAATATTTTTAATTTGAATTTAAAAATATATTTTGTTTATTGATATCTAATATTAATTGTTAATGATTTCCTGTAAATGATTTCATATAATATGTATTTTTAGATTAATTACATTTCTAGAAATATCTAATAGTTTTTATTAACATATATAAACTGTAACTTTAATTTAATTATTATCATTGTGTTTTCTGTAATAATGTGATCACTAGTGTATTGATTAATAATTTTTTATACTCTATTAAATAGTTGTTATAATAGTTGCTAAAAAAAGTCAAATAGTTGTTAAAATAGTTATTTAAACTGTATTAAATAGTTGTATATAGTTGCCAAAAAAGCCAAATAGTTATTGAAATAGTTATTTATTTTCTTATAAATATTTCAACTGATATATAATTCACTTGTTTTTAGCATATTTACAAAAATGATTTATATAAATAAACTAAATATTTCTATTGTTAAAAAAGTAATATGAGTTGATAACAGTTTACACATTTTATATAATTTATATAACTATTACATTTTGTTTTTACATATATTTGTGCAATATTTTACAATTTGATGCTTATATTTTTCAAAATCAATGAAATAATTATTTATAAGTTTTTATAGTTGCTAACCCAACAAATAGTTATTTATAGTTATAATAAAATTTCAAAAATAGCGTCCACTGGTCAACTTCGGTGGACATACTAAGTCCCAGTTATAAGCGTTGAACCGACAAAATAATTTTTTTAGTTGGAAATCAAGACACTAGTGATCACTTGTCCCATAGTTATTAAATAAATGTTTTTTAACTTTAAATTTTATATTAATTTTTTATCCCTTCATATATATAAATTAAAACTATATATATATATAAATTAAAACTATATATATATATATATAAATTAAAACTATTATATATATATATAAATTAAAACTATATATATATATATATAAATTAAAACTATTATATATATATATAAATTAAAACTATATATATATATATAAATTAAAACTATATATATATATAAATTAAAACTATATATATATATATAAATTAAAACTATATATATATATATAAATTAAAACTATATATATATATAAATTAAAACTATATATAAATATTAGTTAGTTGTATATAATTTTAATTTAGTTAGTTAACCATTGCTTATTGATTACTATTATAAATTATTATGTAATAATAAAAAATATATATATCAAAAAAATATCGATAAAACTTTCATTTACATTTTAAATTATGTATTTTTAAAAAATATGTAAATCAAATCATATTTTTTATTAATATATTAATTACTCTAATTATAAATATAATAGTATTTTATATTAGATATATTATATTTTTATAATTGTACGTTAATATTAATATTTTATAATATTTTTAAAATGTTATTTATAAAGTATTATTAATAATACAACAACAAAAAAATCACATATCATAGTATAAAAAATACTGTATATAAGTTTAGTGCATTTAGTTTTTTTTTTAAATAAAAACATTATAATTATCAACAAATAATAAAAAATTTTATCAAAAATTAATTCAATTAAATAGTCTTAATTATAATAATAAAGCAATAATAATAATAATAATAATAATAATAATAATAATAATAATAATACCATTATTGTAGAGTTTTTTGTTGAAAGCTATTTGTGGAATATGGGGTAAAAATTCGGTACCAAATACCGGAAAATTGATTTGAAATGCACCGCCATTTGCTGGCAACTCATTAAATAGGTTGGGATCGGCTACTGATCTCAAACAAGCCAACCATTTGTAGTCATTGGGATCGCAACCGACTTTCTGAGCCCAGTGTTTAGCTTTAGTCAGTGCACGGACAGTATCGGTGATCGGTATGTCCTTATTGAACATCAATGACCCGCTCTGCATAATAGCCCGTTTGAATAGGCCTTTGGACAGTGGAGACAATAGATGTGCCGATACAGACATACTGCCGGCGCTTTCACCGAAAATAGTTACCTGATTGGGGTCACCGCCAAAACTTTCAATATTGTCTTTTATCTGAGAAAAACAGTGATGCAAATAATTAAATCAGTATAATTGATATATATGTTTATGATTTTAATATACCAACCCATTTGAGTGCCAATAACTGGTCGTACAGACCGGCATTTCCCGGTGCCGACTCTTGACCACCATATAGAAAGCCTAGTTCTCCTAATCTATAGTTGGCCGCAACAAACACAACATCATTGGCGGCCAAAACCGATCCGTTGTATTGAATTTGAAATATTGAGCCCAAACTGAAAGCTCCGCCATATATCCAAAACATGACCGGTTTGAGGCCAGTAGTAGTAGTAGTAGTAGTAGTAGTAGTAGTGCTCGACATTACACTCGGTGTCCATACATTTAATACCAAACAGTCTTCACTTTGTTGCAAATCTTCAAATGCATGTCTAGTTTGTGGACTCATGTTTTGTATACAAGAGTTACCCGGTTTGGTGCCATCGATGACATACTAATTAAAATAAATCACTTATAAAAATGTCTTTAATTAGTTACAATACACACTGACGCACACATATACAGACACACATACACACACACACATATTCACACACATACAGACACACATATAGACACACACACACACACACATATTCACACACATATAGACACACACACACACACATATTCACACACATATAGACACACACACACACACATATTCACACACATATAGACACACACACACACACACATATTCACACACATACAGACACACATATAGACACACACACACACACACATATTCACACACATATAGACACACACACACACACATATTCACACACATATAGACACACACACACACACATATTCACACACATATAGACACACACACACACACACATATTCACACACATACAGACACACATACAGACACACATATAGACACACACACACACACACACACACACACATATTCACACACATACAGACACACATATAGACACACACACACACACACATATTCACACACATATAGACACACACACACACACATATTCACACACATATAGACACACACACACACACATATTCACACACATATAGACACACACACACACACACATATTCACACACATACAGACACACATACAGACACACATATAGACACACACACACACACACACACACACACACACACATATTCACACACATACAGACACACATATAGACACACACACACACATATTCACACATAACACATACATAATACACATATACACACACATAATTTACACACACATAATTTACACACACATAATACACACATAATACACATATACACACACACATTTAGACACACACACATATACATACATACACAGTGTGTATTACACACACATATATATATAGACACACAAAGATAGATAGATAGATAGAAAGAAAGAGAGAGAGAGAGAGAGAGAGAGAGAGAGAGAGAGAGAGAGAGAGAGAGAGAGAGAGAGAGACTGTATTTCCAACCTTTTTTGGCTCCTTTATTGGCACCGGTTTAGCAAACCTCAGGTCACCAACTGGTGGTTCGGCAAACGGTATGTTCAGAAACTGATGGATATCTCTATTAAGCACATGTAGTGTCTGTCCTCTAACTGTTGTTCCCGACAATGTTTTAACAGTTATAGCATTATTATCATCAATACAATTAACATTATTACTATTATCAGTAGTAAATACTACATATAGTTCAACTAAAATACTTAAAGTATTATATATATTCAATAAAAATTGTTGCATTATTATTATTATTATAAATAATAATACAGATTTAATATAGTTATTAATTGATTTAAATTTTATTTTTTTTGCTATTATTATTATTATTTTATAACTTATACTATTATTAAAAAAAGCATCTGTACAAATTTATACATTTTTAAAAAATACATTGTATATTATTATTATACAGTGTTAACTCTATTATTAATATATAATATAAATTATACATTTGTATAAACATTAAACATAATCGTCTAATCAATTTAGGATAAATAATATCATTATATTATTATTATTATTTTTTAATCTCAAGGATATCATTATTGATAAATATATAAATATATATTAATAATTTATATATATATATTTTATTAGATTAGTGATATAGGTTTGGATAATTAAAAAAAAAATAATAAGTAAAATAATTTCATAATATTCTAGATATTTGCTCCAAAATTTTTGTTTATATTTATTGATAATTTTATGGTTTTTTTTATTTTTGTTTGTTTATTTTATGTTTTTTAATTTATTTATATTATATATATATCTTTTTAATAATTAAAGTTTTTTGAAATTAATTTTTTGATTCTATGTTTATTTTTTTAGAAAATATATACTGTATTATGTTTACTACGATTATTTACTAAATTAAAATTTAAAAACAAAACTATGATAAAACAGTGATAATAATTTTGTAATACATTGTAAAGTATTAAATATTACGCTAAGAGAGAGAGAGAGAGAGAGAGAGAGAGAGAGAGAGAGAGAGAGAGAGAGAGAGAGAGAGAGAGTTTTATTTTTATTAAGTACTAAATAATTAAATAAAATTTTTGTAATATAAAATTATTTATTTTTTTCTGTACATTAATACAATTAAACCAAAAATTTAAATCAATATATATATATATATAACTAACCAATAAAATTATTTTTTTAAAAAAAATGATAAAAAGTAGCAGGCGCGGTTAAGCAAATTTTGGAAATTGATATTTTAATTAATATATTTTAATAAATAATATAATTTTACACATATATATTAAATTTTAGATCAATCGGGCCAATAATATTATAGTTATTAAATAAAATAAATTTTGATTATAATGGGAGGTATACAAAAAATATCAAACTTTGAACCCCCAAAAAACACCAGTCCCTGGGATCAAATGTTATGAAATTTTTTTGGTGACATTATAATTATCAATAGATGTTTTTAGGAAAGTGTGGAACTGTTCCGCAAACATAATCCATAAAAAATTTCATAACATTTGATCCCAGGGACTGGTGTTTTTTGGGGGTTCAAAGTTTGATATTTTTTGTATACCTCCCATTATAATCAAAATTTATTTTATTTAATAACTATAATATTATTGGCCCGATTGATCTAAAATTTAATATATATGTGTAAAATTATATTATTTATTAAAATATATTAATTAAAATATCAATTTCCAAAATTTGCTTAAGCTACTTTATGTTTATGTTATAACTTTATATTTTATTGATTGCTTTTTTTTGTTTATATCAATTGTTTGAAATATTTTCTATGATTTTTAAAAACAATTTTTTATTAAAAAAAATTATTAATGAATTATTAATTAGTTGCTAATAAAAAAAATATTAATTACTATATCATATAATAATATTTATTTTAATAATAATAATCCCAAACACCGTCGCACGTGCTCTCAAACGGGTTGTCCAAAACACGTGTTGTTTTTGTGTCATCGGGTGTCAGATCTTTGACTTTGATAGCACCGGTAGTTTTATCCAATAATTTAGGCCAATCTTTGCTTGGATTACTATATATATATATATATATATATATATATATATATAGTTTTATTATATTTAAAGTAAAATTAAATAAAATAATATATTTTTTAATAAATCATAAATTTGTTTATCAATTAAACAAATATTTTTTCAAAAACAAAAAAAAATAAATTAATTAATAATAATAATTACCCAAACTTTGCAAAATCGGTCCACATTTTAATGATATCAATGGTAAAGTCATAATCTTTTTCGGTAAACAGTGTCGGTTCCAGTAATGGCTGGCCAAATGTAAAACCCATATCAATACCGTGTACTATAGTATTGTCGGGAAAGCCTAACGATTTCGGATCCATAAACTGCGGGCCACCGGTTGGCGCATAATTCCATCGATAGTACCAAACATTGTTGTTGTTGTTGTCCGACGGGCTGTTGTTGGCCGCAAACAGGCGGGCGAAACGATAGGCCGGACATGTTATCAATAGATCGCCGTATAGTTGGCTGAAAGCCAGTCTCAGTTGGACTGGATCTGTACGGTCGTCGACTCCTTGTAAATAATAGTCCACTGCTTTACGGACGTCTACATTGCGGAACAATTGGTCGTTAATTTCGGCGACCAAATTGGTTAGTCCGGTAACATTGAACTCCGGGTTCATAAGTATTGGATACAACAGTATGGCTAACATTGGACCTTCATCTTTGGTGGCACCGGCTATTAGTTCAACATCTAATTTATATAGAAATTATATAATTAATAATAATAATAATAATAATAAAGTAATGTATTGTTAGAAATAATAGTTATTATTATAACTTAATATTTAATTTACAATTTGGGTTAAAATATTGAGTGCAACATTAATAACATTATTATCAATATTTATATTTATTATATATTATATATTTACTGTAATAATAAATTTACATCTATTTGGAAATTAAAAATTAATTTATTAATATAATAAATACTATACTATACTATATATATATGATGTTAGATAATTTAAATTTAATATAATTAAGTTTAAAATTTATTAAACTATATTTTTTATTTTACACTTAATATTAAATGGCTTTGTAATTATTTTATTAATAATTGCAATTATTAAATAATTAATTTGTACTAAATTATAAAAACAATTTATTAATATAAATGTATTTAACCTAGTCTATTTTGTGTTATTAATTCTATCTATTATATTATTATTTATTACAATTTTTAATTTATTATATAAAATCATTACCACATAAAAAATAAATAATTTTAGGTGCAATTTGAAACAACTATGACTTAACAGTATAATTATTATATAATTTTTTTTTGATTGATAAGTACTTTACGGACTATACCTTAATATAGAAAAAATTAAATAACTAATAATTTATAACCTTGATAGTTTAGCTAATAAAAATAATATCTTATATAATAATCAAAATATAATCGTATTTAGTTAAAACTAATTGAATTAAAATTATTTATTTTTTAAAATAAATAAACAATTTATACTATTATAGTGTAAATATTAATAGTGTAAATATAAATATAATAACTAAATATTAATATAAACTAATATTTTTATTTAAAAACTAATTCAAAATAAATTAAAATCATTATAAATACAAAAACAATTTATATACCATAATTGTAGAGTTTTTTGTTGAATGCTTTTTGTGGAATATGGGGTAAAAATTCGGTACCAAATACCGGGAAATTTACTTGAAATAGACCACCATTTTCTGGCAACTGATTAAATAGGTTGGGATCGGCTATTGATCTCAAACAGGCCAACCATTCATAGTCATAGGGATCGCATCCGAGTTTCTGAGCCCATTGTTTAGCTTTACCGAGTGCTCGGACAGTATCTGAGGCCGGTATGTCCTTATTGAACATCAATGACCCGCTTTGCATAATAGCCCGTTTGAATAGGCCTTTGGATAGTGGCGATAGTAGATGTGCCGATACAGACATACTGCCGGCGCTTTCACCGAAAATAGTTACCTGATTGGGGTCACCGCCAAAACTTTCAATATTATCTTTTATCTGAGAAAAACATCGATAAAAATTATAACTTATTATATCTCTGGACGTAATTTTTTATGATTTAGTATACCAACCCATTTGAGTGCTAATAACTGATCGTATAGACCGGCATTTCCCGGTGCCGACTCGTGAGCCCCGTATAGAAAGCCTAGTTCTCCCACTCTATAGTTGGCCGCAACAAACACAACATCATTGGTGGCCAAAACCGATCCGTTATAATCGGTTTGAAATATTGAACCCAAACTGAAAGCGCCGCCATATATCCAAAACATGACCGGTTTGAGGCCAGTAGTCTCCAGACTCGGTGTCCATACGTTGAGTACCAGACAGTCTTCACTTTGTTGCAAATCTCCTATAAATTGTTTCATTTCTGGACTCAAGTTTTGTATACAAGAGTTTCCCGGTTTGGTGCCATCGATGACATCCTAATTAAATAATAAAATTTATAAAATGTATTTTATTAGTTACAAAAACACACTGATACACACAAACTCACACACACACATATATATATACACAAATATACACACATATATACACACACAAATACACACACATATACACACATATATACACACATATATACACACATATAAACACACATATAAACACACACATATAAACACACACATACACACACACATACACACACACATACACACACACATACACACACACATACACACACACATATACACACATATACATATATATATATATATATATATATACATACATTACGAAACAAACTTAAAGTAATACCTTTGTGGGCTCTTTAATTGGCACCGGTTTGGCAAACCTGAGGTCACCAACTGGTGGTTCGGCAAACGGTATGTTCAGAAACTGATGGACATCTCTATTAAGCACATGTAGTGTCTGTCCTCTAACTGTTGTTCCCGACAATGTTTTGACAGTTACAAAATTATTATCATCAATACAACTAACACTATTAGCAATAAACACTACATATAATAATACATTTAATTTATTAAATAAATTCAAAAAATTTTGTTTTTTCATTATTATGATTAATTATAATAATAAAAAAATACGAAAATTTTAAATTAGTTAACAAAATAATATATTTTATTGTTTTAACATTTACTAATGCTAAATTGTTAATAATTTTTATTTTAAATTTAAATTTTTTTTTAACTATTTATAAATACTTTAGTTTATAAACTTATTATTAAATTTTAGTATAAAAATTTGATATAACTTGTATTATAACTACTGTATATTATTATAAATATATATTTTTAAGTGCATTTTGTGTACATATTTTTTTAAAAACTTATACCGTATATAAACATAGACTTATCTAACTGTAATTAATTTTTTGATAAAAATTATACCCAAATATTTTATTATTTGCTCAAGGATAACTTGTAAATTACTTATATATATATATATATTAGAGTAGTGATATCGGTTTGAATATTTGTTTTTTAAATTAAAAAAAAACAATAATTAATTTTATTAGATACTAATTTGAGAAATAAAATTTTCATTAATTTTTTTTTAAATTCAAAATTTTTTTATTATTATATTTATATATTTGTTTTTAGAAATTTTTTTTGAAAATAGATTTTTCAGTCTAGGTTTGGTTTTATTTTTAAATATAAAAATATTATTTTTTTTTACTAATCTATTGACTAATTTACAATCAACTATCAATTTATACTATAATAAAAAAAAACATTACAATCAATGTTGCTATGCATAGTGCAAAACATTTGTACTTAAAATAAACTTATTTTTTGACAGTTAATAATAATAATAATAATAATAATAATAATAAAGTAAGATAAAACATCAAGGAAAGTTTTATTTTATTTTTAATTAAACATTAAATAAGTGAATAAAATTTATTAGTTAAAAATTTAATACAATTAAATAATATATATATATATATATAATTTATTTATTGCTAAATAATAGTAATAATTGAAAAAAATTTGTTTTACAGTAAAATGTTTTTTAGTTAGTGTTAGTTATAAAATATAAATATTTAGCTAAATAATTGTTAACTTCAATCTATTGATCTAAAAATAAAAAAATTTAAAAACTATTGCATTTGTATTAGACTAAAGTATTAAACTAGAAAATCAATTATATATATATATAAATAATATATACAGTATAAAAATCCTTATAAATCTTTATATATATATATATATATATATATATATAAATCCTTATATTATATAAGGTTTTTATTTTATTTTTTTAGAATTATTAGACTTTTTAAAAAAAATATTTATTTATTTATTTTGAATCTAAATTTCTAAACTAAATACTAATCTAAACTAATTATATATATATATATATATCGATATAAAATATAAATTAGTCAATAGATTAGTAAAAAACATATTTTTATATTTTAAAATAAAAACCAACCCTAGACTCGTAAATCTATTTTCAAAAAAAAAACAAATTGCTAAAAACATATATAAATATAATAATCATTTTATTTTATTTTTTAAAAAAAAACAAACCAAAACTGTATGTCTGAAATTAGTTGGGAAATTAATATCAAATAATATTAAATATTGTTTTTTTTAATTAAAAACCAAATATCCAAACCGATATTTAATATATATATATATATAGATAACTAAAAAATTATTTAGCAATCAATTGTTCAATAATTTGATGAACCAGTTTATGATGGGTATGAAACAGGTAATGACCGGCGCCTGAAATTTTCACTACACGTAGCCATCGATCACCATCGGTTTGGCCATCAATTTCTAGGCCACCAATAGTAGTGTCGACATCACTATCATTGGCGACAACAATATTATCGCCAGTAGTGTCGGCGCCCAATATATCCAATAGATTGTCATAGATTTCCTGTCTGTTATACCGATCGGCTAAACCAATGACAGCCGCTGTCGGTATTTGCTTATCGCTTAACTGTTTGATTCGCTGGACAATCTGGCCATCAGTATCGGCTAARTAATAGACAGCCAACAACATAGCCAATTGGTCAATGTTGGCCAATTGGCCGCTAAGTCCAATCGTGGGTAATAATCGGCGTACAGGAGTCGGTAGWGATGCCGACCACCGCTGGCGTAACAGTCGGCGTACAAACTGTACGCGCATTAGATGGGTAACAGTGCCGGCAAACGCCGAGCCTAGCGGTGTGAATATCTTGGGTCCCGGTGTCGACAGTAGGCATACGCTATTGATTTTCAATGATTTTTGACTAATTGATGACCAGATATGCGATGCGGTGAACACTGAACCCGAATGACAGACCAGACAATCGATTTTACGGATATTCAGTTGACGAAGAAAATCGATGAGAAATTGTGATCGTTCTTCGCTTGAATGCCAGAAACTATTCAAACGATCCGTGTCTTGAAAAGTGGGAAAATTAGGTACAACTAGTCGTACAACGTTTTGTTGGTTACGACGGCCGCTGGCGTTGTCACCGACACCACCGACACCACCGACACCACCGACACCACCGACACCACCGACACCACCGACACCACCGACACCACCGACACCACCGACACCGCCGACACCGCCGACACCACCGACACCACCGATACCACCGACACAACCGACACCACCGACACCACCGACACCGCCGACACCGCCGACACCGCCGACACCACCGACACCGCCGACACCACCGACACCACCGACACCACCGACACCACCGACACCACCGACACCACCGACACCACCGACACCACCGACACCACCGACACCACCGACACCACCGACACCACCGTCACCGCTGTCGCCACCGACACAACCGACACAACCGACACCACCGTCACCGCCGTCGCCGCCGAAATGTTTGATTAAGCGGCCAAAGTCCCGATGACTGCCCGGTATTCCATGCATTGCCACAATTGTCTGGCAATTGTTTTCATCGCCCAAAGAAGGATTGGTATCGACGTAATCGACATTTACTGTATAACCCGTTTCCGGTGCCAATCGTAGGTGCCATTTGTTGTTAGCATTCTCTATATCCTTATAGTCATAATCATCGACTAATTGTCTATTGTCTTGAAATCTTTGACAGGTAGTCAACGACATACTGTATACATGTTGTTGTCGTTGTTGTTGATGGGTTGACGATAGGGATAACCATTGCGGACGACCTGTCGATACCGTACGAACTGTTGACGCACCGGCAGATAAATTCAATTTATTGACAGTAGTTATGGCCAACCATTTCCACGATTGTCTTGTTTTTGTTGATAATATTCTGTTCAAAAACATTATAATTATATATTCAAGTATTATTATTATTATTATTATTATTATTATTATTATTATTATTATTATTATTATTATTATTATTAGATATTAACTCTAAACTATAAATATATATATTTAAAATAAAGATAGATATCATTAAATAGTTTTTTTAAAATAGTTTTTGTGTGTTTTTATTTGCAAATTTAAAAAAATCAAAAATAATAAAATAACAAAAATAACAAAAATTTCTAATTGTATAAAAATAATTTTTTTTTTAAATGTCATCGAAACTATGATTATAAGGCAAATATATATATATATTGATATATATATATAAGTATAAAAATATATAAAAGTAAAATATATATATATATTAATATTAGCACCTAAACAACAAAAACAATAAAAAAAACAATAAAAATTTTATCAATTAATTTATTCAAAATAAATTTAAAAAAAGTAAAATTCAATACAGTTATAATAATAATAATAATAGTAATAATAATAATAATAATAATAATAATAATAATAATAATAATAATAATAATAATAATAATAATAATAATAATAATAATAATAAAAAGAGGAGGCACAGTGGTGTAGTGGTTAGTGTGTAGGGCTATGTAGTGTAATGGAGAGTAAGATCTATAGTTCGAGCCCCGATGTGGTAAAGCAATTTTTCTGAGAAAAAAAAATTGTTTTAACTGTGCTTCCCGTCCCTGCCCAACCAACGCTGTTTAGGACGGCCAACTTAAGTAGTATGGGGAAAGCGGGGTGCTAAGTGAGGACGAGTTTCTGCCCGACCCCGGGTATCGGTACTTCGGTATCGGTACCCACCTGGGGGTACCCGCAAGGGTGCCCCCACCCGGGGGTGCCAGTAAAAAGGTGCCCCCACCCCGAAGAGACGTCCGCAAGGATGTCTCTTCACCCTTCGAGTAGTTACTCGTCCTCACACGCAATGGCCACTTTTGTTTCAAAAAATAAAAAATCCTATTTCAACAAACACATGTTAGTGGTGAGAAATGGGTGGCAATAGACACATGTTAGTGTTGAGCTTATTCTAGGGACTGGGACCCCGTAAAAAGGCCAAAAACAAATATATATATAATTATGATTACACGTAGTCGAAGGAATAACGGGGGGTGTTCGGGAGGTACCCTCTCAAATAAATCCCGCGTTCAGCAGGTAGGCATTGACTGCAGTTCGTTAAGTATGCATCATATCCCACGCAGTGATGTGCTATGCGGGCAAAGCTGTGATGTAATGCGACCGCAGACTAGTCAACAAAATCAGACTAACCTCCAAAATGTTTCAGTTCAAGCTGGTTCTCAGCGACAACTGACCAATTTGGTTGAAAAATCGCAAAAGCGCATGAAATGGACACATGAGATGAATACCTTGATAATGCGCGAATACTACAGATCAACTCGACTCGAAACAAATATGACTGATTACAGAAACCAAATTTACTTAGCATTCAAACAGAAATATCCAGAACTAAATGTAACGGAACAAAGGATTGCAGACCAGCGGCGATTCTTAGCAAAGAATAATAAAATATCCCCAATAGAATTACAAGAAATCAAACAGCAAGTGGCACATGAACTATCATTAAATGAAACAACTGAATTAAATACCACAGTAGAAGTAGTGCCAGAAATGGAAGAGACACCTACAACAACAGATAACAGAATCAATACAAATGATGAAATAAATAGAATAACAGCAGAAAATGAACTAAAAACTTCTTTAGAACAATATAAAGACTTTGAAATAGAACTCAGACCTAAGTTACCAAAAATAAAAAGTGGCGTAAAAACAAGATCTACAATAATAACAATTAATGATATACTTAAAGATTACATCGAAGATAACATGTCGTTGAGCACAATTAATACAATAACATACTGTGCAGCAGTAGCAGTATCGAGACTCTTAGGCTACAAAATACAACACATGTCAACTACAAAACTAAATCAAGAAAATATAATACCTAAATGGCAAAAGCGAATAGAGACACGTATAGAAGGGAAAAGACAAGTAATAGGAAGAATAACGCAAGTGTTAAATGGAAACAAATCAAAAAGACTTAACCAATCATTAAAAGATATATACCGATTATTACAGACAAAACCTGGAAAACCTGAATTTGAAGCTATTATCCGGAATTACAACGACACATTAAAACAAACAGTTCAAGCACTATCACAAAGAATCAGAAGATATAAACAACAAAGCGAAAGACGAAAGCAAAATACAATGTTCTATAATAACGAAAAAATGTTCTATAGAAATCAAAACAAAATAAATTCAAGCAATATTAACCATACACCACAAATAGATGAAATAGAAAACTACTGGAAAGAAATCTGGAGCAACCCAAAGGAATATAAAGAATCTAATTGGATAAATGATATTGAAGATGAAAATAAAGAAATACCACCTATGACTTCAGTAAATATAATTAAAGATGACTTAACCGAAGCCCTCAAGAAATCCCACAATTGGAAAAGCCCAGGACAAGACAAAATACAAAACTTCTGGTACAAACACTTTACAACAGTACATCAACCAATGGCAATAGCAATGGATAAAATAATAAAAACAGGACAAACCGATGACTTCCTCACTTCCGGAATAACATATCTACTCCCAAAAACAGAAAATACATCAGATCCCAGCAAATATAGACCCATCACTTGCCTAACAACAATGTATAAAATCCTAACATCCATAATATCAACAAAAATATATAATCATTTAAGTAACAACAACATAATAGCTGAAGAACAAAAAGGCTGTATAAAACACTCAATGGGCTGTAAAGAGCAATTAACAATAGACAATATTATAACAATAAGAGCTCGTCAAAAACATAGAAATCTTGAAATGGCATACATAGACTATAAGAAAGCATTCGATTCAGTCCCACATAAATGGTTATTAAGAGTGTTAAAACTATATAAAATTGACAACACACTGATAAACACATTAGAAAATATGATGAAAAAATGGAAAACTAAATTGTGTGTCAATACTAATAATGAAACAAAAATAAGTACAGAAATCAAAATAAATAGAGGAATATTTCAAGGAGATTCACTCAGTCCTCTGTGGTTCTGCTTAGCCATAAACCCACTGTCATCACTACTTAAAAAGCTAAAAGGCGTAAATCTAAAATCAAGTGATACAAAATATAATCTAACACATCTACTATATATGGACGACTTAAAACTATACGCCGAAAAAGAATCTGATTTAAATGCAATGTTAAAAACAACAGAAACTTTCTCCAATGATATAAATATGGAATTTGGATTAGATAAATGTGCTATAATGAAACTGAAAAGAGGAGTCTATTCTGAAAGAAATCAATACGAAACTGAAAATGGATATATAAAGGCACTAGAAAATGGAGATATATATAAGTACTTAGGAATTAAGCAAATGCATAAATCTAAAATGACAGAAGTTAAAGAAGAAATAAAGAAAACATTAAACCAAAGAATAATAAAAATACTAAAATCTCAACTAAACTCAAACAACAAATTCAAAGCAATAAACACTTGGGCTATACCTGTACTGACATACTCGTTCGGAATAATAAAATGGAGTAAAACAGAACTTGAGACAATTGAAAGACATATAAGGCGACAACTTACAATGTTTGGACTACACCACCCTAGAAGTTCTGTAGCACGACTATGTGTTAGTAGAAAACATGGGGGTAGAGGGTTACTAAACATTGTAAGCCTTGAAGCCAAACAGCGAGAATTGCTGAGAAAATACCATCAACAAAAATGCAATGTCTCAGAGCTCCACAAAATAACATCAACACTCGATTACAACTACACACCTCTAAATCTCAGCAATAATGAACATCAAATAGAAATACAAAATGAAAAAGAGAGGATTAACACATGGGCCTCAAAAGAACTTCACGGAAGATACCGGGCAGAACTCAACCAAACACACGTAGACGAAGAAATGTCTACAAAATGGTTGAAGTACGCCGGTCTTCATGGAGAGACAGAGGGGTTCATGATGGCAATACAAGATCGAGTGATTCCGACACGAAACCATCAGAAATACATCCAAAAGCTAAATATACCAACAGACAAGTGCAGGATGTGTCATATGGAGTCCGAAACAATAGAACATATACTAAATGGGTGTAAAGTACTCACAAACACCGAGTACCTAAGCCGTCACAACCAAGTAGCCAAAATCATACATCAGGAATTGGCAATAAGATTCGGACTAATCAAAGAACCATTACCATACTATAGATACGAGCCACAAAGTGTAATGGAAAGCAACAGAGCCAAGCTCTACTGGGATAAAGAAATAAGAACAGATAAAACTGTGGCCCACAACCGCCCAGATATAGTACTAGTAGACAAACATCAAGATAAGGCGTACATAATAGACATAGCGGTCCCACTAACACACAAACTACAGGACACGCATAGTGAGAAACGCCGAAAATATACAGACTTGGCCTATGAGATCAATAAGATGTGGCGCATTAAGAAAGTTGAAATCATACCTATAATCCTGTCATCAATGGCCGTAATACCGAAAAATCTGGCCCTAAGTTTGGAATCACTGGAAATCAGAAAAACTAAGATCTATGAAATGCAAAAAGCAGTGATACTTCAGAGTTGTAGAACAGTAAGAAAAGTACTAGACTTGAGTTGAGTCTAACCAGTCGTGTCTCTGCCACCAAAAGTGGCCGACACAACTGTGATCACACCGGAACAACCGTGATATACAAAAATAATAATAATAATAATAATAATAATAATAATAATAATAATAATAATAATAATAATAATAATAATAATAATAATAATAATAATAATAATAATAATAATAATAATAATAATAATAATAATAATAATACAGTTATATTTTCATCATATAATGATGACTTTTAAAATATTTTTATTTTGAATAATGATTTATTACTAATGCTATCAATACTTATTTATTTAATATAACAACAATAATAATATAAATCAATCAATTTTATTAAGTAAATAAATAATATATTTTTGTAAAAAAAATCTGTAGTATATAATAGTCAACTTTGTTAATAAATTATTATTATTTTTTCCAAATTTTTTTTTTTGGTGGCAAATATTAAAAATCTTAAATTTTTATTAATTTTTTATTTTTTTTTTAAAAAACAAAATTTGTAATGTGCGAAAAATTAACAATATTATTTTTGCCAATCAATCTAATGGGCCATGTACTATCGGCCATTGGCCAGGCACAGGTATTGATGGATGCCGGACACGATTGTTGGCTGGGTGTCAGTGATCAATGGTCGGACATACTTGGCCAGTACGGTATCAAACAGTGTCCATTGTGGTCATTGCCACCCGTGCTAAATGATAGCAACCATGATAACAATTATTCAATGAAAACAATCTACCAAGATGCTATTCAAAAATTACAATTGGGTATAATTGGTAGCCAATTAAAACCGTTTGATAAGTTAGTTAATTATTTTAAAAATCTAAATAAAAAATGGCCAATTGCCGAACCTATATTGGAGGCCAATGTTGATCTAGCAATACGTTTAGTACGTCCCGATGTTATAATGTGCGACCAATTAAAGCCTATACAATCGGTAATCAGCTCAGGTATCCCGTGGGTTACGGTATGCAGTTGTAATCCATTGGTTGTCCTAAGTGACCAGGATCATCGTCTACCACCATTATGTTTAGGTTAAATTCATTTACTATTACTATTACTATTACTAATTATTATTACTAATTATTATTACTAATTATTATTACTAATTATTATTACTAATTATTATTACTAATTATTATTACTAATTATTATTACTAATTATTATTACTAATTATTATTACTAATTATTATTACTAATTATTATTACTATTACTATTACTATTACTATTACTAATTATTATTACTAATTATTATTACTAATTATTATTACTAATTATTATTACTAATTATTATTACTATTTATTATTACTAATTATTATTACTATTACTATTACTATTACTATTACTATTACTAATTATTATTACTAATTATTATTACTAATTATTATTACTAATTATTATTATAAAGGTTTGCCAATAGACGGTCAACAACAACAAGAAAAATGGTTAGAATTAAAGATAGATTTAATGAAAAAAATAACCGAAAATATAGAACCGGGCAATGAATTAGTAGAATATTCCGAATTTATTGCAAAATCAGATTATCTAACCATTTATGACTACCCACTGGAATTGGATTATCAAGATTTAAGACCATTGGCCAACAATTTCTATCGTTTCGATAATTTTATGAGAAAACAGTACATCAATAGCGAACCAGCGTTTGAATTACCCGTCCAATTGATGGACAAACCGGGAAAATTTATATACATATCTATGGGATCTATTGGCGGTATAGACATCGAGAATATGAAACGATTGATTGGTATACTAGAAAAATCCCGAAACAAATTCATTGTATCCAAAGGACTGTTAGCCGATGATTATGATTTACCAGATAATATGTGGGGTCAGCCAACCGTACCCCAGACACTAGTGCTTGGTCGGGTCGATCTGGTTATAACACATGGCGGTAACAATACSGTTACTGAATGTTTTTATTTTGGTAAACCAATGWTRGTTATGCCAATGTTTTGCGATCARTWYGATAATGCACAGCGTMTKGAKGATAAAGGTTATGGTAGACGATTGGATGCCTACCAGTGCTCGGAATCGGAATTATTGGAAACAATTGATAGTCTATTATCCGATAATAATATGATTGAAAAATTGGCAAAAATATCTGAAAGAATTCAATCGGATAATAGTTTACGAAAATTACCGAAACTTTTGGAAAATTTGGTCGAAAAAAATCGATTAAAATAATTATAATTTTATTTAAAATAGAAATTTTTGACTTAAAGTCTATCAAATAATTTCATATGATTTATAGTTTAAAAAATTGTTATATTTTAGTATTTACATTATCATTGCCAACAATTTTAATTGTTAATTTAGTAGTCATATCAGTAGAAACTAAAAAATTATTATAAATTAAATTATTATATTTAATTTTTAAAAAAAAAAACAAAATTACCAAAACTTTTTTTGATAATTTGGTCGAAAAAAATTGATTAAAATACTAATTATTTTATTTTTTTAAAAAATAGAAATTTTTGACCTAAAATAAAGTTTATCAAATAATTTCATATGATTTTCTTATAATATTTGTTTTTTTTTAAAAAGATAATTATAATTATAACAAACTATATATAGTATAAGTTTATTTCTAATATATATATATTATACAAGATTTTTGTTTTTCAATTTGTTTTTTTTAATTTTTTGTAATTATTTCAGTATTTCATATGATTTAGTAGTTTTGCAACAAAAATATTGCAGTTTTGTTGTTGTAAAATGAAAAGATAATATTATATTAATATTATAGTTATTATAAAGTTTTTTTTGTTTATTGATTTTAATATTAATAGTTTAATATATTGTACAATAACTTTGTAGTTTTGAAACAATAGTAGTATTAGTAGTAATGTTAATATAAATACAAATTAACTTTAACTTCAATTAACTACTGTTTTTTAAAACCATTTTAATACTATAATTACAATACTTATACAAATTATTGTATTATTAAACTATTAAAATCAATGATAGAGAAAAAACTTATCTATTAAACAATGTTTTATTTATTTTTTTAATTATTCAAATGTTTATTATTTTCAAATCATATAAATATTTAAAAAAAATTATTTAATCAGAAAATATTTTGTTATATTTTATTTGCAAATAAAACATACATATACTGTAATATATTGTAACGGTCTAGAGAGACGATTGAAAGAGATAGCGTACCACTACTGTGTGTAATTGGTAATTGGCTATTGAAAGAGATAGCGTACCACTACATCTGGTATAATCGGTAATTGGCTATTGAAAGAGATAGCGTACCACTACATTTGGTATAATCGGTAATTGGCTATTGAAAGAGATAGCGTACCACTACATTTGGTATAATCGGTAATTGGCTATCGAAAGGGATAGCGTACCACTACATTTGGTATAATCGGTAATTGGCTATCGAAAGGGATAGCGTACCACTACATTTGGTATAATCGGTAATTGGCTATTGAAAGAGATAGCGTACCACTACATTTGGTATAATCGGTAATTGGCTATCGAAAGGGATAGCGTACCACTACTTTGGGTATAATTGGTAATTGGCTACCGAAAGGGATAGCGTACCACTACTTTGGGTATAATTGGTAATTGGATACCGAAAGGGATAGCGTACCACTACTTTGGGATATAATCGGTAATTGGCTATCGAAAGGGATAGCGTACCACTACTTTGGGATATAATCGGTAATTGGCTATCGAAAGGGATAGCGTACCACTACTTTGGGATATAATCGGTAATTGGCTATCGAAAGGGATAGCGTACCACTACTTTGGGATATAATCGGTAATTGGCTACCGAAGTGGATAGCGTACCACTACTTCAAGGGTATTGAACTATTTCAGTTAAAATGTTAATTTAGGCTTACGGTTAAATTTGTGGTAAACGGTTAGGTGATAGTGACCGCCTCCTTGTTGTTGTTATCTCTTGAGAACAGTTCGGTAGTAGTGATCGCCTCTTTGTTGTTGTTATCTCTTGAGAACAGTTCGGTAGTAGTGATCGACTCTTGTTGTTGTTATCTCTTGAGAACAGTTCGGTAGTAGTGATCGACTCTGTTGTTGTTATCTCTTGAGAACAGTTCGGTAGTAGTGATCGACTCTCTGTTGTTGTTATCTCTTGAGAACAGTTCGGTAGTAGTGATCGACTCTCTGTTGTTGTTATCTCTTGAGAACAGTTCGGTAGTAGTGATCGACTCTCTGTTGTTGTTATCTCTTGAGAACAGTTCGGTAGTAGTGATCGACTCTTTGTTGTTGTTATCTCTTGAGAACAGTTCGGTAGTAGTGATCGACTCTCTGTTGTTGTTATCTCTTGAGAACAGTTCGGTAGTAGTGATCGACTCTCTGTTGTTGTTATCTCTTGAGAACAGTTCGGTAGTAGTGATCGACTCTCTGTTGTTGTTATCTCTTGAGAACAGTTCGGTAGTAGTGATCGACTCTCTGTTGTTGTTATCTCTTGAGAACAGTTCGGTAGTAGTGATCGACTCTCTGTTGTTGTTATCTCTTGAGAACAGTTCGGTAGTAGTGATCGACTCTTTGTTGTTGTTATCTCTTGAGAACAGTTCGGTAGTAGTGATCGACTCTCTGTTGTTGTTATCTCTTGAGAACAGTTCGGTAGTAGTGATCGACTCTCTGTTGTTGTTATCTCTTGAGAACAGTTCGGTAGTAACAATCAAATTTGTATTTAATTTTAAACTAAATTAATAATAAAAACACATTTTTTGTCTTTTAAAATTCATTTATTCTGATATAAAAACACTTTTCTGATGTTCACTCATACACTGTTAACAACCGACTCGATCGGGAACTTGTGAGTCAAACAGTTTTGTTGGACGACCAGTACGGGTGGGGTTTCATACATTCATACCATTCAAGGAATGGTATGCTGTTTGCGTAATGTTATGTCTATTGCGTGTATACTGAAGTTATTTTTGTAAAAAATAGTTTATTTCAAAATAGAAGCTATTTTTGAAACTACTTTACTGGCATCCTGACCTCGAGATCGGTCCCCGATCGATTACATAATCTTTTATTTTTATTTCTTTTGTATTTTTTTTTGGTATTTTAGAATGCTTAAAACAACACAAATTAAAACAACAATAAGATAATAATAAACATCAAATGTTTTAAATGCTACAATAATTAAAGCAGATAAATAAGTTCAAGCTATACTTAAGATAAACATTTAAAGTCGTATCGATCACTAAAAGAGTAATTGATGTGAGTCCAAATATTTTACGCGTAGAACTTCAAAAACCACCAGTGTAGAACACCTCTTCTTTACTGGTTAAACGACGTCGATACAACAGCTGGCGAAATGATGTCTTCATTTCCCACTGCCAAAGAATTAACGGACTGTGGAAGTTCGCAGACGACCACTCCTTTGTCAGGGATCTCATAAGCTTCCCCTGTATTATTATTACTATCAGTTCGCAGACTGATTTGCGAACATGAAACACCATTGGTTTCATGCGGGATATCGTTGATATTTGGGCTATTATTTTCTTCAAAATATTCTGTTTCGATAGGTTCTCTTAAATACCATGATTTAAGTTGTTCTATGGGGACTTTAGATCTTTCTCTTGGGTCTGAAAGACTTTCAATAGTATAGTTGTTTGGTGGGTCACCGTGTATTTTGACCACTTTATACGGTCCAAAATATTTTAACTGCATTTTAGTGTTGACCCCCTTTTGTCGTAAAAGTTTGTATCGTCCAACCGTGTCTCCGATAGCGAAAAATTGTGGACTTCGTTTTTGATCGTAATAGAATTTTTGTTTGTCCTGAGCTGACTTTAGAAACTCTCTAGCAACTTCTCGGGCGTCGGCTAAATAGTCGCCAGTTGTTTGTTTGGGGTGGTCAAATGGTAGACCAAAGGCAACATCTATAGGTTTACGAACATGAAAACCGTGCATTAAATAAAATGGTGATTTTCCTGTAGAAGATTGGGTGGAGGCGTTGATGGCAAACTCTATGTACGGAATGACTGATGACCAGTTATCTTGATTGCTATGACAATATAATGAGAGAGAGTTTATTATTGTCCTGTTTGTTCTCTCTACTAGTCCTTGTGTTGATGGCTTGTAAGGTGCGCATAGACTGTGTTGTGTTTGAAAGCTTAGAAATACTACTTCCATTGCTTGTGATATTAATTCCCTTGCTTGGTCAGTCAATATTCGTCTTGGACAACCAAATCTTAAACAAATTTGCTTTATAAAGAACTCAGCTATTCCTTGTGGTTGCCTATCTTTGATTTTTCCCAGAATTACAAATCGTGTAGCATAGTCGACGGCAACAATGAGATAACGATAGTCATTGCTACGGGGTAACGGTCCGACCAGATCCATGCCTATGAGGTCCATTGGGTGTTCAATAGAGATTGAATGTAGTAATCCTCTCGGATATGTTGTCTCATGTTTACGTCGTTGGCAACAATTACAGCTCCTTACGAATTTATCCACATCTTTCTTTCTTTCTGGCCAATAGAATCGACGGTAAACTTCACTCATAGTACGATCTCTTCCCATATGTCCAGATGTAAGTGATCCGTGTAAATCGGAAAGAACTAATTCTCTCAAGTGTTTCGGTAGGCAAAACAAATAAACAGGGTGTCCCTCAAAATAGAATATTCGGTAAACGCATCCATCAATGAGTACATGTCTTTTTTGTGTTTCTAATTCGTTTCTTTCCAATGATTCGATGAGAGACCGAGTCCAAGAATCTTTTAGCTGTTCTTCGCGGGTGTTTATTAATTCTTGAGCGTTAGACTCTGTTATTTGATTATTGTGTATTTTAACAGTTTTGACATTTGTTAAACTGTTTAGAGTGAATTCCCACCCAAAATACTCAAACGATTTGATATCTGAAAAATGCATCAGTTCCTCTCTTGCACGCTCCATATCGTTTAATATACATTCCTTAGACTTGCACAGTGCAATTGAAATACATTTAACTTTTGATGGCTTAATGGCTTTACTATCGATTAACTCTTGTTCTATTATCGGAAGTCTTGACATACAGTCGCTGTTCTTGTGAAGTGACCCAGTTTTATATTCTATGCGTAAGTTGGGGATTAAGTGTTGTATTTCCAAAGCGTATCTTCCGAGTCTTCCGTTAAGATTCTTCATTGTTGTGAGAAAACATAGGCTATGATGATCTACACGAACGGTAAATGGGGCGTTGTTAATGTATTGTTGTA